GGGGGGGGGGGACGGGCAAGTGTGTATGTGGATGCATATGTACATATGGATGTGTGTGCGCGTGTGTGCGCGTGTGTGCGCGTGCCTTGCCTTCGTTGGTGGCGAGGCCATCTACCCTGCGCGCGATCGGCCATTCGTCTGTCGCTCCCTTCCTTTCCTCCGCCCTCCCCCTCTTTGTGGTGGCAGCCGATTTTTTTTTGGCATTTTTCTCGGAGCCGCCTGTAGACAGCTCGCCACCGGGTCAAAGGCAGACCCACCCCTCTCAACTAGTCCCCCCCCCCCCCTCCTCTCTCTCTCTCTCTCTCTCTCTCTCTCTCTCTCTCGCTCCAAGTTCTCCTGTCTCCCCTCCTCCGTCCCCCCTGCCCCTGCTTGCGCTTTCTTCCCACATCTTCGCGCCGGTCTGGCCAAGATGGACCCGCTTTCTGCTGGGTTTGGCTCCTTCAGGCCGCGGGCTGCTGCTGCTGCTGCTGCGGCGGCGGCGGCCACGACAGATGCCGAGTCCTCAGCACCGGTCGACCAGGCTAATCCTCAACCTGGAGGCTCATCGCACAGCCGGGAGGTGGTCCCCTTCCAAGGGACCCGATCTCCCAGCCCGTCAGGCCGACGCCCTCGACGCGGCCGGGGCTCGGCGCACTCGCATAGTCGCTCACGCAGCCACTCGCGCAGCCGTTCACGTAGCCGTTCACGAGGCCGGGATCGGCGCCGGCGCCACCGGCGCGATCGATCCCCCGATAGAGCTGACCGGCGTCGGCGCCGACACCGATCGACCTCCCCCGCATCGGGGTCCACCTGCGATCGGCTCCTTGATGCCCTGTCCTCTGAGGACGTCCGGATGATTGTGGCCAGCTCCGGGTCCGGGACCGGGGCGGCGGCATCTCGCAGTCGGCACCATCCTCGCCGGCGGCGCTCCATCTCGTCCCCCTCGACCGAGCGGCCTTGGCTGGCGCCGACTGCCGGCACCGAGGGCGACGGCTTCCTCGTAGACCCTCGGGGAGATGTGTCACTCCTTCGCCGGCAATCTTTGCTCATTCCCCCGACTGGGGCGTCGGCTGCCAGTGGCGGGCCCCTGCCACCGCACTATTACCGGGTGGATGCATCCGCGGTGGCGTCAGCCCCGGTGTCCGGGGCTGCTGGTGCGTTCCTGGCGCCTTCTTGTCCCTGGATTGTCCCTCGTCCTTTTTTCTTCTTCTTCCCAGCCCCCTCTCCCCCTCTTCCCCTTCCTCTCTTCCTGTCTCCGGCGCCTTGCCCTCTGCCCCCGGCCGCCATCGCTGATTCCCTTTCAATACCCTCCTGGGGCTTGGTCTGGCCATCATGTGCCGATTGCCATTTGCCTGCACGGCCTGCCTGCTGCTGCCTGCCCTGCCGGGCATCATCGCACGCAGCCAGCGTGCTGGGCTTGCCCCAAGAATGGGAGGCATCCTTCTCGCGAGCTAGCCGCCGTGGCCGTCCGGAGCCCGATTCCGAACTTGTCAACCCCCGCCTCCCGTGCGTGTCACCGAACTGTGTGGCCGATTATTCTTCCTGTCTCGCTGTTTCGCTGTTTCGCTGTTTCGCTGTTTCGCTGTTTCGCTGTTTCGCTGTTTCGCTGTTTCGCTGTTTCGCTGTTTCGCTGTTTCGCTGTTTCGCTGTTTCGCTGTTTCGCTGTTTCGCTGCGCCGCCGTTTCGCTGTTTCGCTGTTTCTCTGCGCCTTCCTGCTTGCCTGCCTGCCGGGCTGCTCGCTCACATTGTGCCCCCCCTTTCACTGCCCGAACGCCGCATGTTTCAGTCCCGCCTGGCTACCAATTTCCGACCACCCACCTCCCCTACTGACGGTTCTGCCCAAACCAAGCAGCTGGTCTGCTCGGGGGGATCCGTTGTTGTTGCTGCGCGAGGCAGGATCTCGGGCTCGGCCGTCGGCCCCCGGCACCAAGGCCGAGCCGGAGGCGGGTCGGCGCAATGCCACGCACACGGCCGACACATTGGCCGTTGTGCGGGAGGCAGGCCTGGTCCGGATGCTGTATGCTCATGTGTCAGCTCGATCGCCTTGCGAGCTGGGCAGCCAGAGCGTCTGGCCATCGGACCTGCTGCTGGTACAGGCCTTGCGCCTTCAAGCGGCCGAGGCGGCCGGCCACCAGGCCAGCATGGCCACCCCCGGTCCGGACCCGGCTGATGGCTCCTTCATCCCGGTGGGCCAGGAGCCGGAGGGCTCGCGCGACGTGTCCACCTCCGAGGTAGACCCGGCCGAGGGTCCGGCCGATCTGGCGGAGCAAGTGGCCTCCCGAGTGGGCGCGGCTTTCCGCCTGCTGCGAGATGACCCGCTGGCCGCGGACCGGTGGCTGGAGCTTGCAGCCCTGCGGGGCCTACAGCTGGCCCTGGCTTTTTTACCGACCGGACGGCCGCTCACTCGGCGGCGGGTGGCCCGGGCCCGGCGGGCCGCGGCCGAAGCCCTGGCCGATGTTCTGGGGCTGGGGCTGGCGCGTGCACGCGGCCGCCTGGCCGAGCGTCTATCTGGTCATGCACTGAGTGGAATGTCCACCCGGCCCTTGGCCCATGTGCGGGCCCAGTTGTCCGGGGACTGGGGACACCTGTGGCGCGTGGCCGCGCGAACCATTCAGTGCCTCTACGAGGGCACCCGCCCGGCTGAGGGGCTCAACCGGCTGTCCGGCCTGAGCGCCGGGGTGGTGAATATGGCCCTGGCTCCATGGGCCGAGCGTCTTCGACTTGAGGCCATGCGCGGGTCTGGGGCCGACCGGCGCCGCGCCGCGGCCCTGGTGCAAATGCATCTTCTCGGGGATCCGGAGGTGGTGCAGGCCGCCTTCCTGGCCAGTCAGGAAGCCCTGGCCACCGGGACCACCGGCCTTGGCCGGACATTGTGGCAGCAGCTCCACCTGGCGGTGGAGCTGGGCAGCTTGGCTGGCGAGTCGGCCGCTCTCGCGGCCGGGTCGCGTCCGGCGCCTGCCCCCCCCGGCGGGGCCTTTCCCCAGCCGGAGCACCTCTTCCGGCTGGTGGCCTGGCTGCAGGCGGCCGGCCGGACGGCCCGAACGGCCGACGAAGCCGGATACTCCGAACGCGCACTCACCCTGGCGGTGTGTGGATTGTCGTGGCTGCTGGGGGCCCCGGAGCGGCTGGAGCTTGCGGGGCATTTGCCCGTCGCCCGGTGGCTGTTTTATGGCCGACGTGCGGATCGCGCTTCACTTGGCGCCGGGCCGGCCCTCCACACCCTGGAGACCGGGGTCTCGGTGCCCGATGACGCTTTCGACGCGGAAATCGACCACCGGCTGGACATGCTCGAGGGGTCCGAGCCACTCGAGCCACAGCAGCAGCAGCAGCAGCAGCAGCAACCACTCCTGCATCCGGACGTGGGGGACTTCTCGGACATGCAGTTCCGCGGGCGCTTCACCCAGGCGGCCCTCACGTCGCGGATTTGGGCCAGCTGGTTCCTGACGGAAACCCAGCGTGCGGCACACCTGTGGCGGCCGCTCATGGACCTGCCGGCCCCGGGGCCGGATGGCTCGACGCCCGGGCTTCCGACATACGACCCGGCGCGCGTGGTCCTGGCGGCGGACTTGCGTCCGGCCGGGCCCGGGGCCTTTGGGCTTGGGCCGGCCGCCGGGCGGGAGGCTGCCGGGCCGGTCCGCGCCGCCGGGGTGCGAGCCCTCCTGGGGCTGTGCCTGTCCCTGGCCGGAGTGCCGCATGGGCCGACGCTGGCTGGCGGCCACCGAGCCTGGTCCGAGTGCATGCGGCAGCCAGGGGCCGAGGCCAGCGGGGCGACGGACGCCTTTGGCCGGTTTTCCCCGGGCCCCGGGGGCGCTGGCGATCGGGCGCCCCTCTTCGAGTGGCACCTCGCCGAGGCCGCCGACCCGGAAGCCGTGGCAACGCAAGCCGGTGCATTGGTTCTGCCAGCGGGTCTGGCTGCGACTCTCCCCTCGGTGGCATTGTCCTGCATGGCCTGTGCCGGGACTGGGCCCCATGCGCCTGGCAGCGTGTCCTGCGTGTGCGGTGCCACTCCTGCCGCGGCCGAGTGGGCGCTAGACCGCGTCCTCGGCCGGGCGCTTGGAGGTCCCTCGGCTGCCGTTTCAGGGCCAATCTTTGGCCCAATTGGCCTGGCTGAGCGCGCGGATTTCCTTGAGTGCGTCTCTTGCTGTGTGTGTGTGTGTGTGTGTGTGTGTGTGTGTGTGTGTGTGTGTGTGTGTGTGTGTGTGTGTGTGTGTGTGTGTGTGTGTGTGTG